GGTGGTTAGGAGGACAGAGTGCAGTCTGTCAGCCAGAGGTGAGTGGTGACGGGAAGGGATTGCCTGGGCCAGTGGGCCAGCAAAACCAGAGTCCCAGTTCCAGCCCTTCAACTAATGTTGAGCGAGTCACATTTCAAGTGGTCACTGGGCATGAGTTGCCCCAGGAAGATGCTTTGTGGAGGCACAGGGGCAACTACAGCTACTAGCCAACCCCCTGCTAGCCTGAATCTCTATGTCCTGTCTCTTGTGCCACTAGTGCAATTAGTGTATTAGTGAATTTGGCCCTTTCTACAGCGGCGTGCTGCTTGGTGATGGCAGAAAGCAAGAGAAAACAACACAAGCAAAAGGAAAGCAGATGTTTCAAAGGGCGGTGGCGGGATTCAAGTAGCCTAGCCTAAATATCTGCAGAGGGGAAATCTCTCATACCAAACACAGTCATGAGGGACAAGGAAACTGTGGAATCAGATAAATATGAAAGGCAAAGTAGGGAGGAAAGGTGACGATGGATACAGGAAACCTAAGAAAGGAGGAGGGCAGCTCCGAAGAGGGACCCAAAAGAACTGGAAATCTGTGAGCAGGGGACTCTGCTGCTCTGTCATCCCAAGGCTGTCCAGGCCAGCAGCAAAAAAAATATTCTTTGCAAAGTGAGTGTGCAAGAAATGTTGGAGAGAAGAAAGGCATTATTACTTTTGCCCCAGTGGGGTAAAGAGAAGGGTGCATATAAGATTACCTGTCTGCTTTTGGGGACCCTAGAAAGCTGGGAGAGATCCCTTTGAAATGGGAAGGTCTCTTGGCAGATTGTATATGAAGCTTCCCAGCATTTGCCTCCAAAAACAGAAAAACAGATGGAAAGAGACCCAGCAGGGAAGTGAAATCTCATTTATCTGCACAATGCCATCCTCCTGGCTCCAGCCAGCTCTCTGCATGTCAGCTACCATGGAGCCTACCCCGTCCATTCTGCTCCAGGCCTTCCCAAGCCCATCCATCACCCTATGGCTTCTTATTTACAGGGAGCCTGGCACATGAAGCTGGGTTTATTGTCTATCATCCCTGCCACACATGCACATACACACAACACCCATGTAGATGCACATACACTTTGTCTGTTGCTGCAGCTTGGAATTGTCTGGAGTCCAGGAAATCTTTACGCACTCCTGCCAAAGTCTGAGCTTATCAGAGCCAAAGAGAAATCTGGCCCAGAATACATACTTGGGTCTAGCTTAGTACAGCCCTTGAGCATACAAACTGCATCACTGTCGTCTGGGGTGATAAAGTATCTTGATATTCTCTATTTCTCGGTTCAAGAGTTTTGTTCCTCTTGGCTGTGACATGAAGAACATATGTGAAAAGTTAAAGCTAGGACTGTCACGTATCATGTTTTAAATCAGATATGTGAATGAATGTCGATTATTTGATGTTTTGTCAAATACAAAACAAATACAGCAGGGGCAGTTTCTGAGCCTATTTCCCCACCAAGGTGACATAACTGTATTTATAGGGGAAAAACATGCCTGAGTTTCTGTGTACCTACTCAGTCCAAGGCTACCTTGCAGGATTACAAGCAGAGAGCAGAGTAATAGCAATTGCATCAGTGAGCCCAGAGAAAGAGACTGCCCACAGGGAAAGTTACTCAAGATGCAAAAAAAACCCCTTTAATTTCCCTTACAGGGTTGCGACCATCCACTACTAACCCAAAATGCATCAGAAATGGTGGCTGGGAGACAACACTGCAACTCATTCATCAGCCCTGAGCCTGCACCCTGGGTAGCTTTAAGACCTTATCTTTGCTTTACACATTTTCTTGTTAGTAGGCAGGTTTGCTACCTCAAGAGGCAGGTGGCTCGTAATCCTGAGGGTACATAAAGGAAGTGCAAGGCATTGGGTGGAGTAAGGAGGATGGAGGTCTGGGGTTGTGAAGAACTACAGGGGCAGCTGAACTTGGCAAGTACTTTAGCTATTTCCTTTATTAATATATGAACCCGAAGAAGAGGATGAGTTCTGGACCTGTAATGTATTTGTTTTAGAGCAATTTAGGAAAGACATCTGCTTACAAGACCAGGCTTCTTTCTCCCTGCTATACGTTTCAGGGCAAAATTTCACCCTTTGCAGAAAAGGTGTATCAGCAGTGTGACAAAATTGCTGTCACCTGCATCAAGAAGCCCAGGGCTAGCATGGACTTCTTTTGTGGCCTGTGGTCCTGACAGAGGAGGGGGGTGGACTTTACTTTGGTGCTCAGACATTGAGGAACCTGAGCGCTGAGGAGAACTAGGGATGCATTGTGTTTTCTAGCTGCCTTTTGGAAGCGTGAATTTTACAGCTTCTGCAGGGTAAGAAAAATGGAGAAGGTAGGAAGAGGTTTCTGAAGTTAAAGATAGATCAGGGCATAGAAGTAAGTGGTTAAGAGAAGGCTGGGACTTCTGTGCCTCTAGCACAGCAGTGTTGCATTAAGCCAAGGTACCAAAAGTTGTCCATGCACTGTTTTGGTTTGGCAAACAGCTCAGACCTCCCCTGACAACGGTGCAGTACAGGTATTTATCTGCATTATTAATGCAAGGTTCCCAGTAACACAGCACGTTAGCCTGCCCTCTCAGCCAGTGCAGAGATGAGGCAACCCATGTGCCCTAGCTGCACTTTCATCCTGTGTCATGCCAACAAGACAGCTGGGCAGCTTAAATAAATGCCCCCTACACTTTGAAGCAGACCTTCTGTTTAACTGCCCTGCAGC